GGCAGGAAGTCTGATTGCTTTATTTCTCAGACTCATTTTGGTTTCCTCAGGTAGTTATTAATAGAAAAGACAATTCATTTCCTTTTTGTGTCCTAATTGTTAAAAAAATAATATGTTAATGCAAATAACTCTAAATTTATTCTTGGAGCAGAAATTTCTAAGAAAATATTGGTCTATAATATGAGCATCCTCCCCATTGTAGTCCGAGGTTGTACTTAGTTACAAAATCTTTTTTTTTTCCTTCTTTTTTTGAGTTGGAGTCTAACTCTGTCGCCCAGACTGGAGTGCAGTGGCCACTCCCGGCTACCGCAGCCTCGACTTGCTGGGCTCCGCCAATCCTTCCGCCTCAGCCTTCCAAGTAGCTGGAACTACAGGCGCGCCCTACCACGCCCGGCTGATTTTTGACTTATTGTAGAGATGAGGTCTCGCCAAGTTGCCCAGGCGGGTCTCGAACCCGCGGCCTCAGGCAATCCACTCACTTCAGGCTCCCAAAGCGCGGGATTACAGGCTGAACCACCAAGCCCAGCTAGAATGTAGATTTTATTAGAAAAGGAGATCTCAGTACTTTGGGAGGCCGAGGCTAGTGGATTGCCTGAGCCCTCAGGTTCGAGATCCACCTGGATAACTTGGCGAGCCCTCATCTCTACAATAAGTAAAAAATCAGCCGGGCAGGGTAGTGCGCGCCTGTAGTTCCAGCTACTTGGAAGGCTGAGGCGGAAGCATCGCCGGAGCCCAGCAGGTCGAGGCTGCAGTGGCCGGGAGCAGCCACTGCACTCCAATCTGGGCGACAGAGTGAGACTCCAACTCAAAAAAAATACAATAAAAAATAGAAACACTCCTTATTCTCATTTCAACAACTTTAAACAATGTCCACACACACGAAAAATTTTCTTCTTTGTTAGAATCACATAAGCAATGTAAAAATGGTATGTTTTTTCCTAATTGCAAACGTCTTATATCCTGTCTATACGTAGAGAAGAATACTAGGATATATATCATACCATGCTTAACTCCAAAAAGTTGAATTTTTTTTTGTATTAGTGTCTGTCTTTTATAAATTAATTTTACGAGTATGCACTTTCTTACAGTCTTAAAATACACATTTTTAGATAATATATATTTTTGTAGAAGACTCGAAAAGCTTAGAAACTTTTAAAATAGATTAGTAACAAGTCACCCATATTGCCAAATCTCTCAGATCTTGAGTACTAATCCCACTTATTAGGGTTTTGCTTGTTCTTGAGATGCAATATGTTTGGTTCCAAGTAGTTTACCTAGACCAGAGGTCCTCTCTTAATAACATACTCAGTTCCTCTTTTCTCTTTCAGCTATTATCTCTGTAGCTGATTATTTATTGGCCTGCTTTAGGTGCTATATTAAAAGAAAAACAACGGTCTTTTCATTCCTCCAATCCAATTTGTAATGGCAAATTATAGAGTTCCATTTGCCGTGATCCATGACAAATTTTAGGATTTCCCTTATTTTCTTCTGCCATGCTTTTATTTAGGGCTTCTTGCTCTTTTTTTGCCTCCTTCCACAAAAATCTCCCACTCTCTATCCCTCTTATAATCTTATTTGATCTGATCTGATTTTGCTGTTGAGAAAGTACTTCCTTTCCCCAATATGTAATATCCCTCCGAGGTATAAGAATACCCTCTTGCCGGGCTCGGTGGCTCAGCCTGTAATCCCACGCCTTTGGGAGGCTGAGGTGAGTGGATTGCCTGAACCCGCGTGTTCGAGACCCGCCTGGGCAGCGAGACCTCATCTCTACAATAAAATCAAAAAATCAGCCGGGCGTGGTAGCGCGCGCCTGTAATTCCGGCTACTCGGAAGGCTGAGGCGGAAGGATCGCCGGAGCCCAGCAGGTCGAGGCTGCGGTGACCGGGAGCGGCCCCTGCACTCCAGTCTGGGCGACAGAGTGAGACTCTAACTCAAAAAAAAAAAAAAAAAAAAGAATTCCCTCTTATGACAAATAATTTTACATACTTTTCCTATTAATTTCCTAAAAGTAGTCATCACATCAGTGTATACTGGGTGAGGAATATTTTTATTTGCCATTTATTTTAGAATAATTTTCAACTTTGATAAACACATGCCCATATCCCAAAATTCAAGAATGAAAAGGAGTCATTTCCCTAAGACTGGGGATATATACCCTCTAGTAAGTTATTTAATATTTTAATGTTTTCTTCTCTTGCTTCAATGGCTTTTAAATATTGAATTTTGCTTGAATGTTCCATTCAACTGATTTTCAATGGACTGTCTAGTAAATTTTTCATGTTCCTTATTTTTTCAAATTAGCTTTACTCTTTGCGTGAAATGAATTATGACTCTTTAATAATACCAAACCAAACAAAATATTTTAAGGAACACTTCTCAGCTGTTTATTTAGAAATGTTATTTGTTTTTCTTCAGTGTGTTTAGTTTTTTTCACAAATGTTACTTATATTTATTACTTCTACTATAACCTAAGGGCTTATAGGACTGACTATATATCACTTGAATTCAATTAAAAAAAAAAGTGGCATAGGGAATCAGATAACATACACTAATCACTTAATCTTGAAGTAAGTTAATAAATTCATGTTTAAAAACACCTTTGCCTAACTCTGCATTCTAAATGTATATACAATGTATTTCTTACTTTTCTTGCGTTCATTAGCAGACTCTATCTTATTCTCACCAAGTATTATATTTAATTAGAATAATTGGTATTCCCTCCCATTAAAACAAACAACAAAATTGCCTGATGCTATTACAAGTATATAGCTCAATTATTTCCTTAATTTTTCAGCTAGACCACACACACACACACACACACAAGCACTCATACACACAGCCCCTCAGCCCCTCAGCCCAACTAGAGAAGGAAATTCTGTCTGTGGATGGCTAATGAAAAAATCTGTTATGTCAAGGATCATTCAATTCGTTTTAATAATATTGAAGATACTTACTATGCTAGGCATTAAAGGGGAGGCAAAGATGAATAATACATGCTCTTAATTCTCAAAGAACTCTCAACAGTTTTGCAAGATATCTTCATTATGAAATGAAGCCAAGAGATTTACTTGGCTCAGGCTATCTTTATTGAAAAGTGATGAATTCAGTTGTTCTATCTGTAAAACCTTAATACTAGGATCTCCCACTTGAGTGATGCCCGTATTTGACCATACTGCCTCTGCAGACTCACTTGAAAAATAAAGAGCTCTAGATTGACCAGATGCTCATATAATAGCAAGGATGGGTTGTGAGGCTTAATTCCCTGGTAGGGGACCTCAGTACCATTACCAAACATGTTCTGGAAAAACACAGAGTGATGGAAAATGAAATAATAAAGAAAAATACGCTGCTACCATACTGTGGAATGGAAAAATAATGGAAAGTTGGTCATTTCAACACTGCGGAAAAATACGCTGAAAAACGATTTTAAGGATAATTAATGCAAAATATGAATGCTTCCCTTCTAGTATTACTTATCAGCTAGTCTCCTGCAGGGTTTATGTAAATAGCCATCCATTATGCATCAGGCAGTTGTGTGAAATTATCTGTAAATGTAACCTCTGAGAGTGCTGGTCTCTCTCTCAGAAAGATACCTGCTTAATGTGATATGAGAAGCATAGAAAAAGACTTATTTAATAATTTCTCTTTTCTATTTGCCTATGTGTTTTGTTTGTTTATTTGTTTGTCTTTTTGAAAACCCACCAACAATACCAATACTTAGAATTTATTTAGCGTTTTGAGGTATAGACTACTTTTGTTACTGTTATATAATTTGATCTTCAAAACAATACCATTTTAGGCCGGGTAGAAGAGGAAAGTGAATCTTAGGGACTTTACCTCTCTCTGTGGATTGCAAGACTCATAGTGGCAGAACATTTACTTATTTTGTAAGAAAAAATGTATTTTATACTTCTGCTATATACTATTGACATAGCCACTGTTTAGGTGCTAAGAAGTGAAAGACAGGAGATAGTTCCTACCTAAAGAAGCCCACCTTAAATAGCATGTGACTGGGCCCATGCTAGGGAACTCAGGTTTCCTGGCTAGTTTTTCAGTAGATTTTTCTACCCCACTAATGTCTTATCATTAGAAAGTCCTTTCACGTGCTATTAAAAAGTATTTTCGTTTAAAATACTAATCACCATGGAAGAGTGCCTCATTTTTCTGTGATCTACTAGTGCTTTCTTATGAATTAGTTGATGAGATCCTTCCTAAATGATAGGTGCTAAAAGCAGTTCCCTGCAGAATGAACTATAAAGAAGCATGTTAGCCGGGCTTGGTGGCTCAGCCTGTAATCCCGCGCCTTTGGGAGGCTGAGGTGAGTGGATTGCCTGAGCCCGAGGGTTCAAGACCCGCCTGGGCAGCGAGACCTCAGCTCTACAATAAATCAAAAAAAAAAAAAAAAAAAATCAGCCGGGCGTGGTATCTCATGCCTATAATTGTGGCTACTTGGAAGACTGAGGCGGAAGGATCGCCAGAGCCCAGCAGGTCGAGGCTGCGGTGACCCGGAGCGGCCACTGCACTCCAGTCTGGGCGACAGAGTGAGACTCCAAACTCAAAAACAATAAAAAAATAAAAATAAATAAAGAAGCATCTTTTGGGGCTGAGGAGAGGTGAAATGTCAGGCAGGGCAGCAGAGTCAGGGAAGACAGGCCTGTGTCAAAGCAAAAGAGAGATAGAGTTTATACTATGGTAGGGACATAAACATCACCAAGTTATTAGAACTGTATGCTGCTAGGAAAGAAACTCTAGACAGTGGAGCACAATCCCATCCAGGAGATCAGGGAGTTTTTGTGTTCAGATAACTGAATTGGGTCCTAAAACATTGAGAGAAGAATAAGTCAGCAGAATAATTTTGCTCACTGTCATTTAAATCAGTGATCAAGAGGCTCTCTCAAAATAACATTTTTAGGTTAAAGTGATAAAATTGTTTGTTTTATGTTGAAATCCTTCAAATCCGTTGACTTGGCTTGCATTGTTAACTTCTCTCATCTTCACAGAAAATGCACGTCTTCAAGAAGACCTTGCAGGCATTGATCTACCCCATGTCTTCCACCACCCCACACAACTTTGAGGTCTGGACAGCTACCACGCCTACCTACTGTTACGAGTGTGAAGGGCTCCTGTGGGGCATTGCCCGGCAAGGCATGAAGTGTCTGGAGTGTGGAGTGAAGTGCCATGAAAAGTGTCAGGACCTCCTAAACGCAGATTGTTTGCAAAGTGAGTACTTAGTTAGGCTGAAAAAGTGGTTTGCAGAGCTTGTCTTATTCCATATATTTTCAGTTTAGATCTCTTGCTGTTTTGAACAAATTCTGCTCCCTGCCCGCTGCCATTTAAACAAAGATACTGCCCATCAAATCATAGTTGATGATGCATCCCTACAGTGTTGAACTGAGCTCTGTTAGAACCCTCGGAGTGAGTACCTGGAGTGAAATTGCACTCTTATCGAGTATAAAAACTTCAGAGTGACTTTCAGTTTACTTTCTAATTTGTTTGTCATAACAACCCCCTGTGGTAAGTGGGAATATGTAAAATCGTGTTCCCCAAACAGGGGTCAAGACACACCTCTGCAATTACGGCAACCGGAATTCCATTTCAAATCTATTTGGTGCCTGTCTGACAGGATCTATATGCTTATATAGCCTCCTACACAGGCCTTGAAAATGGGTGTGGAAGGGGGTTCTTGGGTTTGAATGTTGAAGACAAATGTAACTTGTGAACCTGAGCAAATTTTTTGACTTCTTGGACCTGATTTTCCTACGCTGAATAAATAGGGATAAAAAAATTTACCTCAGGGGGTTATTGGAAAAGTAGATGCTCAGTGAATATTAATGGTCTCCCCATCCTTTCACACTTTTGAATAGGTACAAGCTAATTTGATTTTTATAACAAGTTATCTTAAATCTTCCATTTCCAAAAAAATCCTAATCTGATACTTTAGGTCCAAAAATGCCAAAACATCACACTTGGACATACATATAATTGACTTTTTATTGCTCTATTAATTTGGTAGTGTCACCAAAAAAAAAAAAGTCAAAAAAAATATATTGAAACATGGGTATTTATTTGCATGATCACTGAAAAAAAATTGTTTCACTTCTAAATATTGTCCCCTCTGTTCATTGTTTATATGAATGCAGTCGATGTAAGGTATATGGATTGCCTGAAATTGAAGGGAGAAGGGGCAGAGGAAAATGTCAAGATAAAGATTAAATTAAAATTGAAGTCACAGCTGACTTATTGTAGTCACAGTCACATACATTCTACAGTTTTCTCTACCTGATTACTATTCTCCCTACACAATCAGATCAGATTGAGGCTATATGTTAATGGTAATCAATGCATTTTTTAGCAAAAGAAGTGGTATTCTTTGAAAAAAAGTATATTTAGGAATGATTACTTAAAAGGAAGGTAGATTGACATGATATTACTCGTCCAATTTACTTCCAAAATCCCATAATTCAATTAAAATTCGGCCAACTTGTTTTACAAATGAATTGTAAACCTATTAGGGCAGTGACATTTGATAAAAGAGAAAAAAAATTGCCATCTAAAAACAAATGGATTGAATTCTTTAGAGAAAAAAATGATTTAGCTCATACCTATGAAATGAACTCGCTTCTTTTTTACTTTTCCAGAAAGGAGAGATGCTACCCATTTATTAAACATTAGAAACATTTTTGTAACCAATTTTAATTTCTTAAAACAGCATTTGATATTTTATGTTAGTTATATAAATTATGTAATCCAAACTTTCATTGAAAATTAGAATTGTAGCTTGTCAATTGGAAAAAATGGTGCAGAAAAATTGGGATTGTATGCCAAGAAGGGTATAGTTTTTTAAAAATTTCTTTTTAATGCTTTCCTAAAATCAACAGTCTCACATTAATCAGAAAGAGGTTTTGCTATCATATGTATTTAGCTTCACAACTTTTCACAATAACTGTCAATAAAATATGAAATTCTCCCTACAGAATCTGTGACATTACCTTAAGAAACTTCTCTTTTTCTTATTCATTATTTTATGCAAGAAATTTTTAATGGTGACACTATGTATGAGAAACCTCCACATATGTCAGTATTAAAGAAAAAGAAAGACTATACAATTAAATGAAATCAGAATTGGAAGGTATAGCTTCTTTAGAGCCCCGTAAATATAAAAATGTTCTATGATTTCCTTTTTTAAAAATTTATTTATTTTTTATTTAAATTTTTTTATTTTGAAGATATGGGGTACAATTCAGGGTTAGGTATACAAATGTTCATTATGCAGATACCTTGTTGATAAGGTGTGCCCCCCTCTGACAGTTTCCCACTACTGCCAATCCTGCACCCACTCCTGGCAGTTTCTAAATACTGCCAATCCCTTTCTTACAGTATTATGATAATAGTTCAAGGTCCACTTATGAATGAGAACATGTGGTACTCAGTTCTTTGTTTCTGTGATAGATTACTCAGTATTATGGACTCTAAGTCCATGCAAGTTGCCACAAAGTTCATAATTATGTCCTTTTTTATGGTTGCATAATATTCCATCATGTATTTGTACTACATTATTTTTTATCCAGTCCTCTTTCAGTGAGCAGCATAGTTGGTTTCATGTTTTTGCTATTGTAAATGATGCTGCAATAAATATACGTGTGCAGGTACTTTTTTCATAGAGTGATTTGAGTTTCTCTGGGTATATGCCTAGTAAGGGGATTGTGGGATATGGAAGGTCGATTTTTAGATCTTTTAGGTATCACCAAAACTTCAAACTACTAGAACCTTAGAAAACATAGGAGACACCCTTATGAAAATTGGAGCTGGCAACCAATTCCTGATCATAACCCCAAATGTCCATGCCATAAGAGGTAAGATAGACAAGTGGGACCTCATCAAACTGATAAACTTTTCTGCAAAGTCAAAGAAACCATAAAGAGAGCAGAGAGACAGCCCACAGTCTGAAAAAATATTTGCCAACTACATATCTGACAAAGGCCTAACATCTAAGATCTACAAGGAATTCAAACGTGCCAAAAAGAAAAAACCAGACAGCCCCAGGACAAAGTGGGCAAACGATATGAAAAGACACTTCTCAAAAGAAGACATGTGTGCAGCCAACAGATACATTAAAAAATGCTCAACCTTACTAGTCATTAGAGAAATGCAAATTAAAACCACACTGAGATATCACCTAACTGGTCAGGATGGCCATCATCAGTAACTCAAAAAACAACAGATACTGGAGAGGAGGTGGGGAAAAGGGAACACTTCTATGCTGTTGGTGGGAGTGTAAACTAGTACAACCTCTGTGGAAAACAGTTTGGTGATTTCCTTTTTTAAATGGTCATTCAATCTCTGTTTGAACACCCCAGTTAAACTAGCATGCAGTTTAACTCATTATTTTAAAAATTCTAACTCATAAGTTGAAATTTAAACCAAGGTCTGTCTCCTCATAACTTCAACGCATTAAGAAACGCATTACCTCTGAAGAAAATATTTAATAAATTCACTTACATTGCACATGACAGTTTTCAAATACTTAAAAGTAATTATCTAGTTTTCTTTGGTTTTCTAGAACCTTCACTATTTTGCTAATCCTTTTCTAAATCATTACAGTCTATTAATACTCTCACATACAAACAAAAGACATTTTCCACATGTGTCCTGACCAATGACTTATGCAAAAGAAAGAGTACATACAGTTACTTCAAAGTGATTTGAGTTTGGCATCTCATTCTCATGACGTTGTGGGTTTGTGACTTGCATGCTTTCAGTCAAATTTGAAATTAGACCAGGTAATTGTAAAAATCCCACTGACTGCACCAGTGCTTCCTTGCAGGTTTAGAGATGTGTGGAAATGTCCAGTCAATTCCCTAAACAGCCTCATCTAAGTTCCTCTCTAGCTGATTTTACTTGATTGTATTTCCTAGATTTTACTGCCTTTTTGGCCCAAGGCTGACAGCCATAGAGTGATGTGTAGGAACAAAGAAGACCAAAGGGAAACAGGGAGAGAGCAGTCCTTGGGAAAAGAGACCTAGTTTTCTGATTTACCCTTCTCCTTCAATTTTAAATCAGTGACAGCAGCTAGAGTCCACCTGCTTTTTTCTTTAATTAGCTCATTTGCATTCTGTTATTTGAAAAGATATCGTACTCTTTTTGGCAAAAGAATTTGAAGGTTAAAGAACTATTTAAAAAATAGAGAAGCAGTTTGTGGCCCCAAATGATGCTAATATAGCCTGTAAGGAACTTGACATAGCACCACAGTGGCAGTTTTAAGCTTAAAAAATAAAACAAGATAAAATAGAATAAGTGTGTTGGCTGGGATGAAGACTGTGTGCGGAGTGAGACATATGTAAAAGAGAGATCATATGTAAAATATTTTCCTTGATTATCTTTCAGTGTAGAAAAGAGACAGTGACAGAGATTTGAAAGATATGCAAATAATCATGGTACTTTTCTTACACATCTCCAAAAAAGGAATACCAGAGTCCTACTGAATAAGCCTTTTTAATTTTAATACCTAACTAGAAATTGTAAGTGCGTATATCAGGACAGAAAGTATTTCACCAAAAGTTCAGCCAAACAGCATCTTTTGAGATGTGTTCTTTGGTTCTATGTGTTTCCCACTGACATTATGTTAAGCTTATGTGTCCTAATATAAGCAATTGCAAGTTCATAACATTAATAAAATATGGCTAATGTGCTCTTGTTTGCAAATTAGATATTGATTTCCCTTTTTTTGTTATCCTGCTACCACATTTTGTACCCATATTTTAAGATAGATGTTTGTATATATGGAGCATCTACTGTGACTGGAGCTTTTGAAGTTAGAAAGAAAATATGCAATATTTTTCCTAAGCTCAACCTTATTTTCTGAAACACAACTTAGATAAACAGATGTGAACACATAGCTTGGAAACTTCTGACATTCTCTCTTTCAACAGCAATTATACAAAATATGTTTAAGAAATGTCTATTCATGTCATTTGCTCACTTTTTAATGGGGTTATTTGCTTTTTTCTTGCTGACTTGTTTTATTTCTTTGTATGTTCTGTATATTAATCCTTTGTCTGATGTATAGTTTGCAAATATCTCCTCTCATCCTGTAAGTAGCCTATTCGTTCTGTTGATTGTTTCTTTTGCTGTGGAGAAGCTTTTTCGTTTAATTAAGTTTTGCTAATTTATTTTTCTTTTAATTGCATTTGCTTTCAGGGTTTTAGCCATAAGTTCTTTGC